CAAAGTTCTTGGAGACAGGTCAGAAATGTTCAGTCAAACATGCTAAGAGTAAGATTTTGATTGTCTATTTCCCCACTATCCTGTGTTTGTTTTGTTTTTGTTACCTTGACACAAACTAGAGTTATGTGGGAAGAAAAACCTCAGTTAAGGAAAATGCTTCTATCAGATTGCCCTTAGGCAATTCTGTAGTGCATTGTTTTTTTGATCACTGACTGATGGGAGTGGGCAGGTGGTGCTGAGTTGTTTAAGAAAGCAGGCTGAGCAAGCCATGAGGAGCAAACCAGTAGCAAGCACTCCTCCATGGCTTCTGCTTCAGTTCCTGCCTCCAGGTTCCTGCCTTTGCTTCCCTCACTGACCGATGGTACCTGAAACTAAAGAAGCAATAAGCCTCACAAGAACACCAAGCTAGACAACCATAGTGTATCCACAGAGGACCTGGCTCAGACCCAAGCACAGTCCTGCTCTGTTTTTGAAGGGAAAAGAAGGAGAGGATCTGGTGGAGAGGCAAGGTTGGGGGAGGGGATAGAAAGGGTAGATGGAGGGGAACCGAAGTCAGTGTGGAGCGTATGAGAGAAAAATTTTTAGAAGAGGAAGGAGGAGGAGAATAATGGAAAGGAAAAGACAAAGGAGAAGGAGGAGGAAAGGAGGAAGTGAAGAAAAGGAGGAGGAGGAGGAGGAGGAGGAGGAGGAAGACATAAAAATTCTTTTTACCCAAGCTGCTTTTGGTCATAGTCTTTATCACAGCAATAGAAGCCTAACTAGGACACCTACAATCTGTATTTCCTATGTAACAACTAAACATGTGATTTGCATTTCCTTTTATTAATTTTCTTCCAAGGCTCACAGGGTTTTTTTGCTTATAAGAGTTTGGCTTTCAGGCAGTGCAAATAATAACTTATTGTGACGAAGATGTCTATTGTATGACTGGAAAAAGTCATAACCATCTACTCTGGTTTTTTGTTGACTTGATTGCAGCCGAGGCAGGGGATTCTGTCTTGATGATATTCCCAAAACGAAAGGTTTGAAGTCCAATGTCATTGCTCCTGGAGTGATTTATGATGTCCATCACCAGTGCCAACTCCAATATGGCCCAAATGCTACATTTTGCCAGGAAGTGGAAGTAAGTTCTGGGTTTTGTGGTGCCTCTGGTGGGTCTGTGCAGGGTTTGAGGTCTGCAGAATGCTGAAGGAAGCACCAGGAAAAGCACAGAAATGAAGGCTTAGGCCCAGAAACAAACACTTTGTCTTAAGTATACTCAGATTTATCCAAATCAGAAGCATAGAATCAGAGTCACTGACATTCTTAGACACATCTTTTTTGGAGTTCTGTGGAACATGGAATCCTATGCAACTTGAAGGCAGTTCCATGGTGATTTACAGAGTTCACAGCATTTAACACTTATGAGCTCCATAACTGTCAACTGCCAACCTAATCCTTAAAATTGCCCCTTTTCTAAACTTCCCTTTTGTTAAAGAATATCCTGAAATCACAGTGTAGGAATTAGATTCATCCCAGCCACTCCTCTTCTCCATTATTCTCAAGTCTTGGCATTGTGCCCTTATATAATAAACATCTCAGTCCTGCCTTCTTCATTGCTGCTGCTGTCTCAATCCTGATGCTCTTCTGTTGATATTGTAACTACCAACTCCGTCTATCTACTATTGAAATTGCTATCACCATTATTTTGAAAGCACAGATCTAACTATGCTTCTGTTCTGTTATTAGAGTCACCACTAATCATTGGATACAATCCCAACTCCTTGTGTCACATTCTATTATAATTTGGAGATATATGAGGTAGATAGATGGCAGACAGCTAGATAGATATGAACCTCCTATGTGAAGTATAGCTGGCAAAAATGATCTCCCATTCTGTATGTTTCTTCTTCACTTTGCTCATAGTTTCTTTTGCCATAGAGAAATTTTTAGCTTCATATAATCCTATTTGTCAATTCTTGGTGCCTATTAGCTTCTTATCTTCTAGGTTACTAGGTTTTCTTTTTTAGATATGTTTCCATGCAGGATTTGAAAATACAACCGAGTACAATCTCACGTTTGTTTTCCAGAATGTTTGCCAGACACTGTGGTGCTCTGTAAGAGGCTTCTGTCGTTCTAAGTTGGATGCTGCTGCAGACGGGACGCGCTGTGGTGAGAAGAAGGTGATATGTCGTTGGCCTGAGGAAGAAAGGTGGGAGGGCAGTTGGCCTGGAGTTCTTGGAAAGAGGTGGGAAAAAGACCTTGGAGGGCAAGAGGAGCACCCAAGGTCACTCTCACAGTCAGCCCAGATACAGGAAAGGATTCCACTTCTGCTGCTCTTTCCACCCTTTGCTGAGGCCAAGTGGTCTGAGAGAACAGGTTGAGGAGATTTATACTTTACCTGCAGAGCAATGACCCTATCTTTCCCTGATGAGTTTCTGGTATCTTCTGAGCTTGCTAGCAACTTGCGTTTTTTGTTTGTTTGTTTGTTTGTTTGTTTTTGGTTTTTCGAGACAGGGTTTCTCTGTGTAGCTTTGGAGCCTATCCTGGCATTCACTCTGGAGACCAGGCTGGCCTCGAACTCACAGAGCTCCACCTGTCTCTGCCTCCCAAGTGCTGGGATTAAAGGCATGCGCCACCAACGCCTGGTGACAACTTGCATTTTTGATGTTTCTCCCTTAGTATTGAAGACTGGAAAGTATGGGGAGTGTCTTCTTTTTTCATATCATCAGATTGGGAAGGAAGATTTATAATCTTCCTTCTCACTGTCTGGCATGACCGAATGTCTTAAAGTCCTGCCCACTTTCTTAAGCAGAAAAGTCTTATAGCCACAACTCAAACTTTAGATATCCTCCAGATTGCCTGAGGGGATGGTGGCCCACTAATTGAGTTGAGTTACTTTGGGTCTATGGCTTAGGAGTTTAGTGGGTGTCTTCATGTAGCTTTGAGTTTGTCCTGCCTTTAAATATATTGCATGCTTCATTTCACTGCTTCCTCATATACAAGTTTCTAAGTATACATTTTTTAAGGATGCATTTGATGCTTCCTAGAAGTGGATTACACTTGTTTTTCCTAGACATGCCTTTGCTTTGAAGAATAAGAGCCACATTTCCTACAAGCAAGAGATAAAAGTGATTACAAGGCCTCTCAGTATCTAAGTTCCAAATCTCAGTCTTCTCCTTTTCTTAATAAACATAGTACTATACACCATCCATCACTGAGTTTATAGATACAGTATAAAACTGATAGTAGAAACTAAACTTATCTGAGGAATCCCTGTGAGCTCTTTTCTGTATGGCCCCTGGTGTATTACTATAGGAAGTTTTCTGGCTTGGAAAGAATTGGGTTTAGACTTAGAAAGTCTTTGGCCCACTTGCTATGGATTTTTTTCTGACACATTGCCCCCCCCCATTACATCTCTTTGCAGTGGTGTATGGCTGGAAAGTGTATCACAGTGGGGAAGAAACCAGAGAGTATCCCTGGAGGCTGGGGACGCTGGTCACCCTGGTCCCACTGCTCCAGGACCTGTGGGGCAGGAGCTCAGAGCGCAGAGAGGCTCTGCAACAACCCCGAGTAAGGCCTGGCATGAATACTTGCATTCCTTTCTTCTGTATGAGCTAGGACACTATTCTCGAATGGCAGGACACTAGTCTTCAAAGTGTTGGAGGGAAATTAGATCAATTCCCAAGGACAGAAAGACCCAGATGATTCATGGGGTAAAAAAAGCATTTCTGTTTCACATGCTTTAACTTGGCTTTGGAATCTTAACAGACAAGTAACCTTATTCCAACATTTCAGTGAAACAAAGCAAACTTCTTTTAAATGTATAAGCAAATTTCTTTTAAACATTCTATCTATATGGAAGCTTCCGGGAGCTTATGTAATTAAATCCTTCCAAATAATGACACTCTATCAGCAAAGTGTAGATTCATTAAACTCAGTTTTATTGATACAATTATAGGTGGATTTCGATCACAATAAATGTAAAATTAAAAGTATTCATGTAAGTAGTGAAATGGCCATGCACGTTTCTGAAGTTAATTATCACTAATATTCTAGCAACATATTCTTATGAATTTTAGGGTTCCATAATGTCCTACAAAGGATAATAATTCATTTTCTATTTTTAAATCCAATATATTCATATAATAAACTTATAATGTTACATATGTGTGTGAGTTAAGTTTAAATTGTCCTGCTTCATTTCACTGCTTCCTCATATACAAGTTTCTAAGTATACATTTTTAAGGATGCATTTGATGCTTTCTAGAAGTGGATTACCCTTCTTATTCCTAGACATGCCTTTGCTTTGAAGAATAAGAGCCACATTTCCTATAAGCAAGAGATAAAAGTGATTACAAGGCTGCTCAGTATCTAAGTTCCAAATCTCAGTCTTCTCCTTTTCTTAATAAACATAGTACTATACATAAACTGTGTATGTTCATGTGTTATACATGCATGCCACTTGCTATATATGGAGTAAGTTTTTGCTGAGGATTAGATTTTAATATCTATAGCTTAATATATTATCTATTACATAGTAAACTACAAATAAGTGGTACTTAAGAGTCATCCCTTACCAATGTAGGGATTTTCTTGAGGAATGATGATGTAATCATTTTAAAATTTTGCTCCTCGATAAAACTCTATTCTTCAAAAATTCAACACCAAGACTGTCTTATACAGTACTCTATTTTTAGAGAAATACTTATCAGTTTGGTCAGAAGTGTGCTTTTACAGAAAGGAAAGACAATTTTCTCTGAGACTTGTGGTGTGTATTCAGCCACCACTCCTAAACTTGGGAAGATGTTCAGTAATGTATGGTCTTCAGAGAAGGTATTGTCTAGCTGAGGTACTGAATATCTTAGTGGTCAATGCCAAGGCTTCAATTTCAGTCTCCTTGGGTGAGTGATGACATCTGATGCCATAACTCACTTTCTTGATTTTATTGAGACCTCTGTCAATGGGAACAAATTGTATAAAGATCTCTGTGATTCCAATCACAGAGTCAGATTAGTGTATGAGCCACTTATGATGAAAGACTATAGTTTTCTTTGACCACAATTAATATGCAATTGTCTAAAAAATTATTTTTCCCTGGGTACTTTCCTGACCTTGTCTTCAACATTGGTCAAGGAGACTAACCACAGGGATAGTAAAATATTGGCACTGTTTGGTTCATAGAGGCTCTTGTTAATGCTTGTCGGATGGAAATAAGATGGACAGATGCCAAGCCAGAGAGTCTCTATTATTGAATGGAGACTAGCACGACCTCAGTAGTTAGTTAATGACAATTCTTAGTACCTCCTACCAGGAAGAAATGAATGAAGAGCCTGTTATGTGAGCTGCCCTAAATTCAAGTTGCACTAAAAAGATGGGGAAGGGGGATAGAGTAAGTCTCATGAATGTCAAAGAGAACAAGAACATAACCAGACTTGTGGGATTGTCTCTCAGGGCTGCAAATTGTCTGGGACTGCACTTGGGCAAGAACTCAGGCTACAGATCATAACACATGATCCAAACCATGGTTTTGCCAATCTCAGCTGGGAAATGTACTTCTTGCTTCCAGCATACACTTGCATCTCTCCTGTTTATGAATCAGCCTTTTCTCTGAGACTTCTCTAGGTCTACCCCTTCCAAGAATTCTTTCTAGTCTACCTCACTCACATTGAGTGCTCTCTCTCTCTTCCAAAGCCTTGTTGTACTCATGGTCATGCATACCTAGCTGCTATCTTAACATTTCTCACTTGTTATGTAGGATTATTAAGGGCTGGAGAGATGGCTCAGCAGTTAAATGCTAGGCTCACAGCCAAAAAATATTTTAATGTTTTGACAAAATTGTAAATTTTAAGGAAGCACAGGACTTGAGTTGACTTTGTACTAATTCTGTCTTCTTCACAGCATGGTGTTGAGAGCAGTGTTGCATTTCCTTGTTGATTGGTTTGTATTCATACTATCTAAAAGAGTCTATCGTGTCATCAATTCTTACCATGTATGCACTACTACTCTATTAAATATCTATGGACATTGTCCCATCGAACATTTAAAATCTTTGTAAAATAAAGGCTAGTTGGTTCATTTCATAATAAGAAACAACTCAGGCTCAGATAAATAAGATTACTTGTTTAGATTCACTTGAAAGTAGAAAGTCAAGTGATCTCCAGTTTTTGGTCCCATTATGTTACACCACAGTTATGGTCACAGCATCTCTCTGGGGTACAGCAATACAGGTAAGAAGGGAGGTAAGTTGCCTGGCAGCTGTCAAAGAACATACAGCTGCCCTTTGTTTCTCTGACAGTAGATCTGATACACTGCCTCCTCCCCTTATACATGATGCAGACTAAGAGGTTCTCACATCCTTACATGGGTCACAAAGGGAATAGAAGGTGAAAAATGTGTTCCAGAAATGAGATTGATTTACTTCTTTATTGAATATTTAAGACATTTCTGTGCTCATAGCACTACATAGGCTCCACAGAAAAATTAGTACTCAAACTGAGTCATTAAAGGATTATCTTCAGGAAAATCCAGTAAGTACAGTGAGAACATGAAGTGTCCTTTAAAATGACAAAGAGATCACTTGTGCTTGGAGTACAGGAAGGACCTATGATGGAGGTAGTGTGTGTTTAGTCCTCAAAGAATAGACAGTATGGTGACACGTAAAGACTCAAGAGGAAGCAAGTCCAGCAGAGGCACAGAGAAACACTAGGAAATAAGGAGATTATGCAAAGTAAGATTCATAGAGTCAGTTAAGACAGGACCATGGTAGCCTAGAGTGCCAATCTCAAGATCTGAGACTTGATTGACATGATTTACAGCTGATGAGTGACATTAAACATCTTTAAACAAGAAACTAATATACTTAAGGTAATCTAATAGTATACAGTCAACATTGTGCACCATGCATTGAGTTTTTTCAATGGCCAAAGGGAATGTGGGAATGAAGGAATGAAGCAACAGACTGGGTTGGTAGTTGAATAATTGAGGAAGAGAAAACACATATAAAAATACAACTCTATAGAACGAATGTGGTGGTGAATGTCTTTTGTTGTTGTTGCTTGTTTTGTTTAATTTTTTTTAAGACAGGACTTTTCTGTATAATAGTCCTGACTGTCCTGGAACTCACTTTCTTACACTAGAATAGTTCAAACTCACAAATATCCACCTGCCTCCATCTGCCTTCCAGGTGCTGGGATTAAAGGTGACCTTGCCCAGAAAATGCCTTTAATCTTAGCACTTCAGGAGTAAAGGCAGAGATATCTGTGAGAGAGAGACCAGCTTGGTCTACCTAGCAAGTTACCTACCAGGCAAAGCCAAAAGTACATAATGAGATCCTGTCTCAAAAACAAACAAATAAATGCAAACAAGTGGTAGCTAGGTCCAAGTTGGCCAAGTATGAATGATTCTTCAATCTGGCCATTGCCACTGCTAAAAAAGGAATAGATGTTGAAAGAAAAATGATGTTTCTACTTTCTTCATATATTTTTTCCTGGAGATTTTACACTTGAAAATACATATTGTCATTAAAACAAGGCATATATTTAGCTGGAGCAGATACACACACACGAACACACACACACACACACACACACACACACACACACATAATTTAAAAAAGGGAAACATAGGATTGAAAGGCTGGTGGGAAACACACACACCCCAAAAAGTATGCAATTGGAAGGGTTTATCTGTTTCTTTAGGTCAGAAACAGGCATGGTTTGACAAGGAACAGTCATGGCCGGGCAGCAAGGGACTTAAAAGGAAATTGTTTTTCTTCTTGGAAACATAAAGAACAGTCTGTCTATTTCATCTGCAGACCAAAGTTTGGAGGGAAATACTGCACCGGAGAAAGAAAACGCTACCGCTTATGCAACGTTCACCCCTGCCGCTCAGAAACTCCAACTTTCCGGCAGATGCAGTGCAGTGAATTTGACACTGTTCCCTACAAAAACGAATTCTATCGCTGGTTTCCAGTGTTTAATGCAGGTAAGGGGCCTTCAACATGAATTTCAGATCTGGGGTTTCTCAGAAGCTCTGCAAAGAAGTTATCTCAGAGATAACTGCACCATCTCGGGTTCTCAATTATAGAAGACAGTTACACTGACTGACTGAAGCTGACCTCTGCCAGGTCCTCTGGCAGTCAGGGCTGTGGTCCAGCTGGTCACTTCCTGGGGCTGAGCTGGATAGTGAGTGTCAATGACCCAGATCCTCCCCCCTTCCCCCCAGTCACCGGAGAGAACCACCACACACTGACTTGTTGAAACCTGTCAAAGAAGATCCTGGTTTTATTGTAACAGGCATGCACTTATATAGAGTTGAGAAAGTGGGTGGGAACCTCAGGATTGGGTGAGGTGTAAGGGCCAATAATATCTCACCAAGCCAGCAGTAGCTGGGCAGAGGCAGTTTTGTGGAGTCACTCCTATGCGAAAGTGATAGCTCAAAGGCAGGTCTGCAAACTCTAGCCAGGCTTAGGAAGTTCCACTAGGCCTTGCCTTCAGGCCTTTTTAGGCCCAACAGACCTCTAAATGCCAAAGGCTGAAAATGTCCAATTATTCCTTGTAGGAGATGAAAGTGATGTCCTGCAAACATGGTGCCTTACTTGCCCTAAATGGAACATGTAGGAATTTAGATACTCATTATTTAGATACTCATTATTATAGGTGGTCCTATGGAACTGAATTTCTATAGATATTTAGAGCTGATGGGATGGGAACAACTTCAATGCAGCTGATGAGCTTATGTATAATAGCTCCTTCTGTGAAGGAAGAAAGTCATTCCATATGGAGGAGAACAGCTCAAAAAAGTCAAGACAGTAAGAATGCCTTCCTCAGAAATTAATGCTGGGCCTGAGATCAACATTTCATATGTGAAACATGGCACAAGAAGATTAAAAAGTAAAATCGAAGACCTAGAGGATGTGTGTCAAGGGATGGAGACATAACTGAGCTGAAGAATTTAACTATAGCTTTGACCATACTGTCGGATATAGCTCTACATTCTCTCCTGAACATGAAGTCATCGATCCGTCGTCTATGACAATCATTGTCATTTGAACAAGGAATAAAACAAGAAAGATTTCCCTGAATTAAGGCTATCTGAGGCAAGGGAGTAAAAAGAATAGCTAGTCTAACTTTCATGATTATTAGATTCTTGAAATTCCAATGTGCTATGAAGAATCACAGATGCAAGAATCTCACAGTTGGCTTCTAAAACAATTCTAGTCCATGGCTGTGGGAAGAAAAACTCTACAGAGATTTGCCCACTGTGAGGCTCCAAAGCATCTTGACAGCTATCATTTTTTCCTTGTCCCTAGTTCTTGTTTTATGAGAGCGAGAGAATTGGTTATTTGGTGCAACTGAAATATTTGCTTAAAGGAAAACAAATGTGTATACTCACATAGACTCCCAAAATAACTAATAACAAAGGTACTTTTAATCAGTGCCATCAATACCTATCTTCTGCATATTTTGTAATTTTTTTTAAACTTTTGGGGTCACTGAATTTATGGGCTGAGTGAGTAGCCTTCCAGGACTAATACACCAAAAGAGCTCCACTGGTCTCATAGGTGCTGAGTTTTGTTATTCTTTTGTTTAAGCTACAGCTGCTGATATAAAGAAAGGAACAACGGATGAACAACCCACACGGAGTTTATTTACCTGAAAGGGGGGTGGAGAGATGGGGCTGGGTTGTCAGCCAACCCCAAGAGGAGCCAAAAAGAAGGGAGGGGAGATGGGAGGCAGGACCTGTTAAAGGGAAGGTTGCATATGCTTACTGGGGTTTTGCACCTGCGCAGAGTCCTCACACAGGCCACAATGCATGGCGGGTGACATGGTGATGACTTAGCGAGTCTTCCTGTGCATGCCCCGTCATTAGGGGTTGGGATCATCCAGGTGTATTGTTCTTACAAGTTTGTATCCCGTCCTCTCCCCAAGTGCAAAATTGGACTTAAATATATTCAATACTGATGGCTCAAATAGCTTGACTTGCAATAAAAAGGGCCCATTCAATTTGGCTTTTTGTTGACGTATAAGCAATTCTCGTGTTTCTGCTTTTGCTTAGTATGGCTATAAGTACTAAGTAAATGAGGGTCACAAGAGTAGACAGAGTTTTCATACGCCTTGGAATGATTGGTTTGCATTCATCACTGGAATTGAATATGCTGGTGTCTGAGCTAACCACTTCTCTGTGATCAAAGCATCAATCCTCCGGCCTCATGTTTTCCCCACAGCTCTTGTGACCCACCCACCCTTTGTGTGATCCTGAAGCCACATAAAATGCATCAAAACTTTTCCTCATCTTAAATATTTTTATCCTTCATTTCAAGTTTGATATTTCTACTTCTAATGATCACTTCTTAAGATTATTAACCTCAAAGGTTAAGCCATCCTGTTTTTTAGCAGGATCAGAAATGCAACCTTTGATTCAATAATTACATTCTGTTACATGAGCTTCTTTGGGAGAGCAGATGAACCACACAGTGTAAGGGTAAGATTTATCTATTAAAAACAGGTTTTATTTATTTTTTGCATTTTTTGTACCTAACAACCACTTTTAGGGTCATTGCCAAAAAGTATTAAGTGATTCCATTTCTGCAGAACTGAAAGTGAAAACTTTGACTCAGTAAATTCATTCCACCATGCAAGCTTGTTGGTAAGGTTAATCAGGCAGTATGAGGGCGAGAGTTCACCTGTAAACTGATTTTAGTGCTTTCACTTAGCCAAATTACAAATGCTACTCAAAGCTAGAGGGAAAAACATCACATGTCTGAGACAAAAGGACACAGCAGGGCAGCTGAATAAATGTGATACAATGAATTCAGCACGGGGGGTTTTAGACTCTCCAGCTGACATCTGCATCGGTGACTCTCTCTGATACACATGATGATCAGTGAGAATGAAGAGCATCCATTGCCACCCTTTCCTCCTTATTAGAACCCTGTGTGATGGGATAATGATATCTACAGACTCCCGCCAAGTTCCATGAGAGAGAGGCTAGAGAATTGGGAGAGGAAAACACAGAGCTTTTGACTCAACATTACAAGCTGTTCAAGGGGCACAGAACCTTCCATTTGCACTGCCTTCTTCAATCAGGGTTCTCGCTGGTCTAAAGCATAGATACACCATGGCAGGATAAAAGCAGTTGGTCTAGTGGAAGTGGAAGGGAGACTGAAGTGGGAGTTTATAAGGGGGGGGGGATAGCAGAGGTTGACAGGGTGGTAGAGTTAAGGGGAGAGACACACTTTGTTTGAAAATGCCATGATGTTATATTATATATTATATGCTAATTTTAAAGATAAATTAAAAAAACAGTGGTTAGTCTACTGGCTGCTTGCTATTATTTTTGTCTCAAGTATCTATGGATATTTGAAGTGTTTATCTAATTTTTCTTTACCCATAAAAAATCAGGAATCAGATATCAGGGTAAGAACCTGAAAGATCAGAGAAGCAGGGATGAGAGCAGACACCAGTGCCTCTACTTCTTCCAGTCCTTCCTCCAAAAAAGATTGACATTCTCTCTCAGCCCCGCTTTATTTCTTTCTGTCTCCTATCTGTCCACAGTTCTCCAACCCTCTTTGACTAGTTTTGGTCAACTAGTGGCTAGCTCTGCCCTCTGACTCAAAGCAAGCATTATTTTCAGAATGAAATCAAAGTATCACAAAACATATTTTTGAGGCTTCCCAAACCACACACTTTTACATTCAACAGACTTTTGCATTTTATATGTGCAGCATTCTTCATGTCTGTTTTATGGTCTAACATGAAAGGGTATATCAAACCTATCCTGGGAAAACAGAATGGAGGGAAGTTTTGAAATAAGGACCTCTCATCATGGCGATATGTTGTGTTTATCATGAAATAAAGGAGCATATTCAAGTTCTATTGTTTCAGAGCTAAGACATTATTTTGGAAAGGAATGTGTGTGTTTTATAAACTGTAAACATTCCCAATCAAATGAAAGAAAAATGCACGCTCATTATATCATCATGAGTAATCTATTCCCAGAAAGTAATCATTGTTAAGGGCACATTTTTTGTTTGCACAAGAATAGATTGTCCTTGTTAATTCGGAAACTTTCTTGATTCACATGGTCCCCTCAGTTAATTGTGCAGCATCACATTACAGAAATTTGACTTAGTTGATGTGTGCATTATTTCTCTTTGGATGAGCATCCCATTGCTGTATGAATGTCCTTGACTTTGCTCATATTTGGATCATATTTATTCTTAGGATAGCCTGAGTTAAAAATGTCTCATGATTTAAAAGATCCATCCAGATCTGTGTTGATTCATACAGAATATTTTCACTAACATTATTGATAATACCACAGCACTTAGTTGGCAAAGATGAATTAGTCTTTTGTAATAGTAATATTCAATAGTAGTCACTCTCCGGGAGAGGTTAATGCTTCGATGCTTACAACACTGTCCTTCAAATAGCCCCCTCTGTGCAGTTTAAACTCTGAAAACTTTGATCTAGGACTAAAATTTGGATCACAATAGCTCAAACTCCAGTGCTGGGTGAAGGTGAATCCCGGACACTGAACTTCTTTCTGCATCTTGTTGAGCTTAGATTCCTCCCCAGTCTCTACTGGCTGGCAGTAGCTAATCAGCATACACTTGACCCAAATATCCCTAAGAATATGGCTGTTGAGGACACTGCAAACCCACAGCCTTAGAATTGTCAACAGGAGGACCTCTGTAGTTAACACAACCAGAATGTCATTGAATGAGGTCCACAGTTAGAGTAAAAGAAAGTCTGGAGATATTGTCTGTCTGAACAAGATCTATATTTTTATGCTAAATGGGCAAGTTACCAGTTATTTACAAAATATGAAAATAAAGTATGAACTTAATGCAAGGTTGATTAATAATGAATAATCTGCAGAGGGGTTTTGTGTTTGTTTATGATGAGAACTGAGTAGCAATTACAAGTCTCTTGCCTATTTGAAGAAATTGGAATGAAAAGCATAGAATGTCAATGAATTTTAAAAGTCCTTAAGCTAATGATGATGCTATAGAGATGATGACAACATTTGCTGAGCACTTATTGTCTGCATAGAGCATAGAGCCAAGTGCTTAACATGTAACTGAAGCGCAGAAAAATTATCATTTTCTCATGATAATATTAGATCTTCATGAACAGAAACTCTTTCATCTGTTTTCTCTAGAAATTATTATTCTATGGTCTAGTATTTTCTTCATATATATGAAGCAGAGATAATGTGTATTAAATTAAAATGGAGTCTAGTTGGTGTGTTACCGAATTCATGTAATGATGCAAAAAGTGGACCCATTAAATATGTCATTAAAGACATTTGTGTGGAATTAAAAGGCATTTAAATGATACGTTGAAGGGGGTAGGGTTTTGGACCCTGAACTCAAACAATCTGGTGTATTAGCTTTGCCATTCATACTGGAAGACCACAGGATTTACATCTCCTATATCTACATTTTCTAAATCTTGATATATGCAATAAATCTAGTAACTGGACAGGAGTTATGAAAGGAGGTAACCTGTAAAAATAAAAATAAAATCTAGAAATAATGTTTAATAAACTATTACCTGCTAATTTTAGCAAGTCAAATTTCTTTTAATTTATTATGTAAACAAAACTAGCAAAATATCTTTGGGTAGATTTATCTTTCAGGAGGGATGTCACATATCACAGACCCACAAACCTATAACAAGCATTGGTAACTCAGGAACTTGGTGTAGTACATGGTTATTCACGATGGAAACAGTTACATGACTGTAAGATTAAGTACCTCCTTAAATCTTACATCCTTCTCACCTGACTCTTCCCAGCAGTTTTGAAGTAGGTAAGCATTTTATTTTGTTTGAAGTAGAGTCTTACTATGTAGCCTTGGCTGTCTTGGAACTTATTATGTAGACTAGGCTAGCCTCTAACTCACAGAGATCCACCTGCTTCTGCTTCCTGGGTGCTGGGGTTAAAGGTGTGTACCAGCACACCTGGCAGTGTGGAACTGTTTTTAAAGGAAATCTCTGTATTTTTTAACGAATGCTTCTCTCTGTGTGTGTCCAAATACAAAATCATGAACCTGATTTCTCAAACCCAGATGAATATCTTAGTAAGTGGTCCCCTAGATTGAACATACAAATGGATGTTCTTATCCTCGAAAAGTGTAATTACTCCCAGGTGGCTGCCCACACATGCTTCTACTCCAGTTTGGTCAGTAGTAGTTTTAATCTCATTGACATGAGAGGAAGTTTACAGTAATCCCAGTTTATGTTTTACCCTCCATTTAATGGTCCTGTCTATGGCTCTTTGTAATCTCTTTGACATATATGATTTTGTTCATCTTCTGAGGCAACTATGAGATCATTTGGTATTCTTTATTTATATATTCCCTTCCTTTAAGTTTTATACCAATGTGTCTGACATCTGTCTCCAGTTTGTTCAGAGTATTTAGTATTTAGTGTTTAGACTCTTTGCTCTTGGCTGTACTTAGCTTGAGTTTTACACTTTTATTTTTGTCACATGGATTATCACATCCTTAAACCAAAATAGTTAGTGCTGAGTACCTTAGTTTTGCATCTGATGTTTATCCACGAAGGGTAAGGTGGTCTCAGCATCAAGAGGACATGAGCTCTGCTCATAACACACAGATTTGGGGAGCTTTCCATGGGGATTTCTGAAGAAGATGTTCTCAAGTTTGCACCTAAAGTAAAGTGTAGGCTTGGAGCATAGCTTCACAGTAGAGTGCTTGCCTGGAGTGTGGGAGGGATAAAATTCAATTTCCAGCACTGCAATACAATATAACATTCAAAATGTAACATTCAAAATGTAACATTCAAAAGAGAAATACTACTTCACATATTAACCATTAAAAACTTTGAGGCATCTGGGCTTTAAAAGATATTTTTCTTTCTGAGCATTGTGTGTGCAGATAGGAGTGGGTGTGTTTCATGCGTTGTTCCAGTCTTCCCAAGGCAGTAAAACACTGAACCTAAGAATTACTTCCAAGTGGGACCCAAGGTAAAAGGGATGTGCTCCTGTAATAAATAGATTGGGTTACCGTTTGCAGAATCTCATACTCTTTGCTTCTATGTAGTTGTCAATTTGTATCTAAGCACTTCTTGGATTGGGAGGAAATATGACTAGCTGTTGGGATGTGCGTTAAGATGGTGGTACTAATGTTGGTGCCATGGGAAGGGACTGCATTCCCCCAGAACTTGGCATGCCTTGCTACAGAGAGTAAGTGTCACACTTGTCTGGATTCTGCATTACCTGTTACGATTACTGATTTCCTTCACTAACACTAAATGCCCCAGGCTTTCTTATGTGTAGGTGCACAGTTCAGTGGAGGATTGAAAAATCTTCTCATTTACAACAAAGGGCATATAGTATTTTCAACCAATCTCACAAATATAATTAATTATAGAATCTTTGTTGACAAAAAGAGCAACAAAATGCCTGCATTTTAGCATGCGTCTCAGAAAGGCGAAGATGGGTTTGGAATGGTACTTGTAGGTCATAAGTGCACTGGAATCCTGGGGAAGGGTCTGAGCTACAGAGTTAACTCAGAGGGATTTCTCTTTTTCTCGCTTCAGCATATCCTTGTGAGCTGTACTGCAGACCCATAGATGGACAGTTTTCTGAGAAAATGCTGGATGCCGTCATCGATGGCACCCCTTGTTTTGAAGGTGGCAGCAGCAGAAATGTCTGTATTAATGGAATATGTAAGGTATTGGGTATGTTTCCTTAATCTACAACTTTACACATCGGTGGCTTTCCAATTTATGAAATCAGATGTTATAAGCTTATATATGGCATTTACGTGTATCTGATTTCTTTATTAATAAATAAGGTACACAAGAATATAAGACCTCTCAACAGTCATTAAAGCCACAGTTTGTTCTCAATAGTTTTTCCAGCTGATATTTTATTTCTTTTTTTCTAATTTTATTTAAATTAGAAACAAGATTGTTTTACATGTCAATCCCCCTTCCCCCTCCCTCCCCAACTCCCCTGCTCCCCACTAACACCCTACCTATCCAATACCCTTTCTGCTCCCCAGGGAGAGTGAGGCCTTCAGAGTCTGTCATATCCTTTGGGATAGGGCCTAAGCCCTTCCCCGTGCGTCTAGGCTGAGGGAGTATCCCTCTATGTGAAATGGGCTCCCAAAGTCCATTCCTATGCTAAGGAAAAGTACTGATCTACTACAAGAGGCCACATAGATTTCTGAGGTCTCCTCACTGACACCCACATTCATGGGGTCTGGATCAGTTCCATGCTGGTTTCCCAGTGATAAGTCTGGGGGCCAAGAGCTCGCCCTTGTTCAGGTCAGCTGTTTTTGTGGGTTTTACCAGCGTTGTCTTGACCCCTTTGCTGATCACTCCTCCTTCTCTGCAACTGGATTCCAATTCAGTTCAGTTTTTAGCTGTTGGTATCTGCTTCTACTTCCATCAGCTGCTGGATGAAGGCTTTAGGATGGTATGTAAGTTAGTCCTCAATCTCATTGTCAGGGGAGGGCACTTAAGGTTTATTTCTTGATTTGCTAATGGTCAAAAAGATATTATTTCAGACATCAAGTAGAATCAAACTGAAGAGCCCAATTAAAGGCATGTTATAGGAAAAGGCAGCCAAGACTATTTCAAGTATATTGAATTAAAAAAAAAAAAACTCATCCTAACAAAGCTTCTCCATTGTCAACATAAGTATCTCAGAAGGAAAGAATATGATGGGTAATAGTAGAACAGGCTTTTGATTTTAAGTATCTTCTCTACTCACCCTATTAATTAACTCAAGCTTCACCTATTTAGACCTGATTTGTTAATGCTATGAAGAGTAGAGTCATAAAAAAATTACTTCTTGTTGTTTGTGTTACTTTTTCAAAGAATAGAAGATTAAGTCTTGTTATCTAAAGCCCAGGAATAAATCTGTTTAGAGAAGGTGCTTGTAGTTAGTTAAAGAAAAATGGTACCCGACACCTAACGTACTTATAATAAAATAGTGCTTTAGCCCTCATGCTCAAAACTAGGAACACATTCCACACCATCATTTTCCAACTGTATCATCTTGGATATCTTTCTGTAAGACTCAACTTTCTGTCATAAAATTAGGATGTTATTTGTTCTTGTTTTTTATTATTTCTTTGAAAATTTCATACAATGTAATTAATTATATTCACCTTCCCCCTACATCCAATTCCCTACCAACACAACTGTGTATCTCTTTTTTTTCTCATCAAGTATAGTTTCTGTTTCCCTTGTACTCTTGAATATGTGGTTTTTCTCTAAAGTTTGATCAGTCTGTCAGAGGCCACACACTTAGGGAAATTGGATTCTCCTTCTTCTATCAGCTTTCAATTGCCAAAAGCTCCATGATGAGATTTTTGTCTGACTTGAGCTTATACAGGTCTTATGTGTACTGTCATAGCTGCTTCCAGGTCTTGGATGCAACTGCCTTGCTGTGTCTGGAAAACACTGTTTCCTTGTAGTCATCTGCTGCGTTAGGTTCTTACAATCTTTATGCCTGTTCTTCTGCAGTGATTCCTGAGCCTTGGGTGGGGAGAGTATGATATAGATGTCCCATGTAGGGCTAAGCACCCCCTAATCTCTTATTCTCTGCATGCTAACCAGCTAGCTGTGAGCGTCACTATTAATTTCAATCTACTTCAAAAAGAAGCTCCTCTGATGAGGGTTGAGAGATACACTACTGTATGGGTATAATATAATTAGGAATCCGTTTAGTGCAGTGTCTTTTCTACAAAGTAATAGTAGTAGGTTCTCTCCCTAGGGTCTATGACCTAGTTAGCTACAGGTTCTTGACCCTAATAACAGTGTCAGGTATTAGTTTCAACTCTTGGAGCCTCACATCCAGTCAAAAAGGAGCTAGTTTACTTCCATGACATTCATGCCACTACTGCCCCAGTGCCCCAGTCTTTCAGGCCAGTTCACATCTGGGTGAGACTGATGACGGCTTTTCTTCTCTAGTGGTGTGATAGCCCCTTTAGACACCATGAAAGGTAGTTGTTAGAGAGGAAGCTTCTGCGTGAGGACCAGCTTTGTTTCTTTATATTCTATGATTCAAGTATGTGGTATCATTAGCCATATGATCTTACCCTCAAAATCTTGAGGGTGCCAAGAAAACTGGCAATAGTTTGTGATGTTTGCAGGATCTATGGGAATTTACTGGCCAACACCTCTGAAAGAGATAAGCCATTCCTGATATTGGGCCTTTTATTTGTTGGCTCCTAGTAACTAGTAGTGGCATTGTTGCCCCATTATAGGGTAACTTCATTTTAACCATATATATATATATATATATATATATATATATATATATATAT